TTTTTTTTTTTTTTTTTTTTTTTTGGTGGTACAGAAAACATAAATCTTACTAAACAAACTGAAACAATTATCAGAAGGTATTGATTGATCTGGTTAAGTTAGATATTGAATGGATTACCTAACATGCTTATGTTTGGTTGGGTTTTTTAAACAGAGATGATGTTTTAGCTCTAACAGCAAATGTCTGCCTCTCCAGACAACAAAACAGAGTTTTAACTCCTATCACTCAATTATTTTTCTTGCAATATCATCTGTCCTAATTCTGATTTTGAACCACTAAAACCTTGATACCTTCCACTTACAGCCTGGACCCCAGCAGCAAAACGGGAATCCTGGGAGTAGCAGTTGAGACCCAGGAATCACTGCTTTTCTGAAAACTTTGACTGTTTATTCCCAGCAGCACTTTGGCTTGCAGGGCTTTCATGGTCAGGAAAGCTGACTCAATGTTTAGCTTGATTTAACCCCAGGGAATTTTAGATATGTTTTGGGGAAATTATACTTATTTTTTTTTGTCCATGGCTTTTGAGGACACAGTTCCCTTGCCACCAACACTGGCTCAGCACATTCAGCAGAAAATTTGACATGGACAAACAGTTGATTCTTATGTGGATCACAGTACAGCATCTATGCTGTCTTTTAAGTACACTCACACCAGTTTTATGCTGCCTGACAGCTCCATTTAACCTGAGAGTTAACCAAACAAGATTTTTGTGAGTAGATCTGAACCAGCGTACTGGGATTTATGCCATAACTCCGCTTTGTGTCATGAGGCCTGGATTTACAGCATCACCAAATCATGATTTCAGTTAAAGGCCAATCACTTCTCAGTAGCCGGTCATTTTCCCACTTACAGGCAAAACTTAGAGCTTTTGTTTTCCAGAACCAAGACAGGCTGTGATCTAGCTCTGAATTAGGGCAGTTAGTATCTGCATGAATCCATAGCTGCACACATCTTTGTGACATCAGAAAGTTAGCAGTCCCTCTTATTCTGTGAATAGCTTCTAGCAATAAACCCAGTAGAAAGAAATAAAACATTTAATTAGATGCTTTAAGGCACAGATGTCTCATTCACCAAAGGTCAATTTGCACCTGCTAACTGCTTTCTTTGGAGGTGAGCTACAGCAACACCAGAAGGGGAGAAATGGCCTAGGTGTGACATACTTTTACACAAAGCCATTGAAAGGCACGCTATGGATGTTGCAATGCTCTCTAATTCACCCTGAGCACTCCACCTCAGTTATGGATGGTTTGGGATGAATCAGGAGGGAGGCTGCCTCTGGACATGAACTCATGTGTCCATGGGTGTACATAAGAAAGAACCCGCATGCATACATGCATTTGCATGTATATATTTGCATGTCTGTGACCTTAAAGGGACTGGAGACAATCTGTAGGGTTCGGTATCTGTGGGAAAGCCCTGGAATTTGTGATAGGCATGCAGCTTTTCTCCTCTCTTTTCAGGAGACTATCCTCCATGGATCTTTCAAGTAAAGCACATAAAAGCCCCATTTCCTACACAGAAAACAGGAAGCATACTAACTACCCCAGGCAGTCTGGAAACAACCCAGAGCATTCCTAAGGGGATCCCTCATATTGAACATCATTTTCAAGCCTGCAGAGCAGACAGAATAGAGCAGAGGCTTTTCAGCTGCTTACAGCACCGTTGTGCTCCAGCCTCCTCAGGGCAGGCACATTTAAGTTATCTCCCCCCTCACAAAGGAAACCATCCCAGACCAATTTCCCCAAGCCCATCCCTTCTGCCTTACCTGCCCCAGGTCATCCCCAGCATATCCCTCCCCATGCTTCAGGGCCAAGAGGCACCTTCCTGTCATCTATACCTCGTGACAGGAGCACCACAGAAATCCCTGAAAACAAACATTTCTACAAACAGGAGACTGTGGAATCTGATCTCTTCTGGATTTGTGTTCTTTACTTAGCTCTGCACCACAATTTACTCAGATCCCACTACCATCCTACTGCAGTGTTGTCGGGGCCAAGTTTAGTGCCCTCCCCACCTTATGCAGTAATGAGGGTGACTGCACATACCTCACATACCTGGAATTCTTTAGCTCCAAATCAGGGCCAAACTCTTTATTATCGGGTTGAGCATAACCCTACAGCTGTACCATGGGGTTGGATTTCTTCCTAGGCATAGTCTGAGTCCTTCTGTCTCTGAAATCTGCTTTCCATGTGCCTATGGGTATAAAATGCAATGTGTGTTATTTACCAGAGGAGGATCACACTGATCCCATACTATGGAGAGGATGCAGACACCCATGATCTGTCAGAGATCCAAGCCAGCAGACCTTGAGTTGCAGAGCTGAGCGCTGTACAGATGCCCCAAGGTGAGCGGCTAATCGGGCACCCCGCTTCCAGCCACCGGCTGAGCCGGCTCTGCCAGCCCCATCCCTGCTGTAGCTGTGTCAGCCGTGAGGCTTGGAGCTGGAGGCATGGGAGAGATGCTGCAGGGTTCTCGGTCCTTTAACGTGGGGCTCTTCCTCTGTGTACCTCTGAATTCCAGTCTCTGGGGTGTTGATGCTCTTGGTGGCATCCTGCATATAGACTCTGCAGTCATTCCTCTTTGCTTCTGCTCTTTACAAGGAGACCTCTGCAGGGACAGGTCTGCTCCTCCATGGTCTTGGTACAGTGTTCATCACAATACCAGCCTTGCTTTCTCTTGTTTCTGTTGTGATACAACATGATATAACCAATGCACAATCTGGGTCACCAATCCTTTTCCAGGCGGTCCATGCTGAAGACTACCCCTATTCCCTCCAAAACCCTAGCTGTTGCTTTTTGATATGCCACCTAAACATATGATGTTCTGATTAATCGAAGACTCCAAAGTATACCATTTCTTATTTTGGAACTTTTACGTAGCTCAGTTAACGGATAACAAGAAAATGTACCTTTATTATTAAAAAAAAAAAAAAAAAGCATACTTCTGCTTAATTGTTATTCTAATTACATGTTCTGGTGTAGTGTAAATTTTTTCCCTTGGCATTATTATGAACCTCATTTCCTTACAAAGTCCAGGATAAACAATTCCAATATATTTTGTTTTAATTATCAGGGTTTAATGGGGCATAATGAGACTATGTTGAGTGGTGCAGAAAAAAATAATTTAATGTGTGCAAAACTACTGAGTGCTCCTAGCTTGACTGTGCATATTTCACCTATTGTAGGGCAACACTATGCTGGCTAATACTCAGTGTGCCCATCATTTATTTATTAATCATACTTGCTTTTCAATTGAAAATTTTCCTTTTTCTTTTTTTTCCTGGCATCTGAAACAAGAAGAATCCCATTAAGATATCCTGGAAAAAATGGACAATTCTCTAAGTTGAGCAGTGAAGGATGCAGCTGATACACAGCTGATGGTGCTAGAAGCATTTGTCATGTCACAGACAGAAGACTGGAGTGTGTTGGATGCAGAACCTGCCTCAGCTAGTCTGTTCCAAACGCAGTCCTTCTCCCAGTGTTACTTGGCAGTGAAAACTTCTGTCTTCAGTTCTTAGGGCCCCTACCAAAAGAAGCATAGATAAAATCAGCTGAAGTCACCATTAAGAAATGACCTTGTCTGGGCTCCCTGTAGATACATTTTCCCACTCCCAAGGTGTGGGTCCTACAGACTTAAAATACCACAGATATTTCTGCAGTGAAAAGGGAAAAGTGCAAAACAGCAGCCTGGGAAATAAACCACTGAAGTGAGATTACAACCCTTTAGGCTTTCCAAGGTCCCTTTGCCAATGGCACTGAACCCAGTGGCTGGGCATAGCTGATGCAGCAGTCAGCACCACCCTGCTACCAGATTTATATTCCACTTTACCAGGGTGACCATATATCAAAACCAAAATACCCTTCCCCTGCCATCCCCCTACCCCTCCAAGTTTTACATAGGCAGAGGAATATTTTGGCCATTTGTCTGGGAACTCCGAACGTGAAGCAGTGTGGTCAGTATGTCAATGATGGATTGTTCTGCCAAAGGACAAGCACTTTTGTCCTGCCATCCTGGGCACATACATCAGGTTTGAAACATTCAGTCATACTGGAGTCCCTGTGCCTTCACTGTGCAGCTCACACACCACCGGTCCAGCACGTGGTCTGCTGGATGGAAATACAGGAGCCCTAGCACAGTGTTTCCCTGGCTTGGGGGAATTAAGCCTTTTGTCCCCAACAGAAATGAACCTCTTGAACATTTTGTTGCCTGTTATGAGCACCAAGTCCTTTGCCTTAACTGGTGCTCCCAGCACCAAGACCTGCTTCTCAGAGCTGTTCTGACATCGGAGTGTTGGAGCTCCGCCGATACATACAACAGCTTCTGTGGCCTTCCAGAAGAACAACTAGACAGGAGAAAAACTTTCTCTCCACACTAAGCCATGCATGACATCCTTCCTTTCTAAATCATTATCTTGCTCAGGCTTCCCTACTCCACTAATTCCAGGCTGTAGTTCTGATGAGTATATGCCCGGCCTACACATATGGGGTACAGCCTTCTCATCCATATACTGTATTTGCAAATAACAGTATTTCTTTTGTCCTGGCTTTCTAAATTAGTGAATTTTCTCAATAAAAATAATGAAAGCATCCCAGGATATTGCAACACACATGAAAATAAGGTCTTACAGACCAAGAAAACTGAAACCATCTCAGGTATGTTAAGTTCAGCACCTCCACAAGCTAGGCTTTGTTACAAGCACCACACATGACCAACATGAAGGGTTTTAACCTTTACACCTAATTCAAGTGAGTTACAAGAAGCTTCAATGCGAGTTTCACTTCAGGAATAATTACTGGATCCTCCCTGAAGGGAAACACATCTATTTTGCTCATCCATTACAATCCTTGATCTTGAGTCAGAGGACTTGATACTGAAGCCAGTGGGAATGCCCTCTCTTCTGGAAAAGTATTTGATTCATGACTCTAGGAAGAAGGTTCAAATACAACACAAAAAACCCTGAGTGTTGTTACATTACGTTTATTTGAAAATTAATATTTTATATTACAGATTAAGTTAATATACTCCAAGTGTTTGGGTTTTAAATAAAATAAATTTATTACAGACATCAGTATTTACAAAAAGAAAAACTTTTTTTTTTTTTAATCTTATTGGTGTAAAAAAATTCTCCAGGAAGTTTCTACCCACGGGAGATGTCACATTCTGTGAGAAGTCAGCCTCCTTGAAGGATTAATGGAGACAAGAAACCTAACCAGGATTAAGTTACAACTCAATGAGTTGACTGAGGAACTGCAATGGGCTGGTTACCTGCAATAAACTGTAGCAAGGCTGAAAGACCTCAGGGAGCCCATTCCAAGTCTCTGTCCTATTCTTCAAGGAAGAATAGAAGGGAGTAACTGAGTACCTTCCATCAATCTTGCACCAGATACAGGACCAGGCCAGCATCCAGCATGCTCTCAGCTCTCATGGACCTCCAAAGCTTAGTGGTCTTCTTTCTTTCTGCTTAGCTATGGGAATTCTGACCCAAGCTTAGGACCCCATTGTACAGCCACTGTATAAAGACACAAAGGCAATCTCTGCTGCCACACAGCAGAGCAGCCACAGCAGGCCATGGTGGAAGAGCATTATTTTACAGAGGGGGACTGGCTGAATCTTCATCATACAGAGGTGCAGCCCTGAGTTGGAAGCAAAGTTTGACAATTCCCAGACAAACACTGACCTATGTGTTCCCTTGGATTGTGTATGAAGTCCCACAGGGACTTACAGGGAGGTCTCTGCATTTGGTAGAGCTGCATAAAGAACAGGACAAAGGAGTGCATTTTTGGGTAGTGCATGAGCTGCAGATGGTACAGGCCTCTGAGATGAGCTCTGGGCAAACACTTATGCTGAAATCTCTGTGTAGGACTGTACGTCCCCCACTGCATGATCCCCACTGGATCATGCAGTCAAAACTGAGTAAGGTTGTGTTATTAAGGGACCTGCACCCTGTCCTGGATTGATGCAGAATACCATGCCTGTTAAATCATTGGAAATTCTGAGCCTCGATATACAGAACAAGACCTTAATTTGAATGCTTGACTTAATGTGTTTCAACTCCTTCACACATCAAGCTCGTGTTTTTAATGGTTTCCTCTGTTGTACAGTCACTCAGAGAGCTCTCCAGGCAGGTCAGCATACCCTCCAGAAGCCCACAGCTCTTCAAAAGTCAGTCTTAAACACCTTTCCACACAGCCATGGTGAGGGGAGAGGGATGTGAAGCACAGCTGAGATTCTGGCTCTCCTCCCCTGTAAACAGAAATGCCATCTCCTTTGGTATATTCAGTGGCAAATGGGGAACTGAATCCAGGTGCACGCCAAATGATGACAAAAAAAGGTCCTGCTAGTGACAACCACACCTTGTTGCCACCATATCTTTATAATTTTTAAGGACCACATTCTCTTTGTCATCAAAGTAGAGAAGATTGAGGGACTTCAATTCATCTGGCACACAACAGGGTGTGCTGACATCTTCAGACAGCTTAAGCGTATGGACTATGGACTGAACTGTAGCATGGTTTGTTGCATTTTGACTTTCTCCAAGGGGGAAAAGACAGGATCCCCTGCAATAAAATGCATTGTATCCACTTGGGTAAATAATCCATCCTGACCAGCCAATAGCACGGAAGTCAACGTAGAGTTCCCTTCGATGACATGCTGTTACTTGGCTTTTGGCAGAAGGGATTGCAGCAGCTCGAGGTCTCCTGCTCACACTTGCATTGCTGCTTTCGATGATCTGAGTTTCATGAGGCACGTGTGAACCATCATTTCTGGCAGGGTTCATGTCTGGTTCTGAAAGGAAGTCACACATTAATCTTTCTCAAAATAAATTCATTTCCTAAGTACAGTATTCTGCATGAAAATCTATTCTATAAATCTACACCAAAGTCTTTGGAACAGATTTTAAACTTACACTTAAATTGTGAAAGTACCAGAAGGGGTGTGTATTCGGTTGCTATTTCAGCCATATTTCAAAATCTCGTGTTTCACTTTGTGGCCTGAAAGGTCCCAACTCAGCAGAAATATAAAGGAAAAGTTCAATGCTATACTAAATATATTCTGTGAACTCCACAGGCCCTTTTCTGGGCTGAATCTGGTCAGAATGGTATTAACGGTCTTTATATGGCCACTCCTACAACACACATCATGCTGAGCAGTGCTAACACAGGGTGGAGATCACAGCCTTTTTCTCTCTCCAGTATTTTTTTCTCTGGAACCCTGTGCATACACTTGCAAAACAGAGTGTGTTCCTGTAAAGTAGTATTTTTAAAAATACTTTTCAGTTTTTGAATCTGAAAAAATTACCACCACATTTATGCAACTCTGCTAGAGAATGAATCTTACTGACAATAGGTTTGCTTTCTTAAAATATCTTCTGAGAAGCCTTGATAAATGTCCATGGAGACCTCAGAATCCATGTACAGAGGCTGAAAACCACTGATACACATACAGGCTGGTAGAAGAACAATCTGTGCAGATTCACTGGCCACAACGAACAGACAGGTCTAGGGAGTTCCTTCACTGAGAAATAGGTATCAATTTCTCAATCCTGGCACAGTATCCCATACAGAGCTTGATGCTCATTAAATTGGGATCTAGAATGTCATTATAAAAAATGTATTTGGAAAACAAAAATAAACAGGTCAGACTAATTTTTGTTTTTAATCAATTTTACCACCTACTTCTTAATATTGATGCAAGTCCTGCCTAGTTTCTTTCTAATATGCAAATTTAATTGTTTACCAGAAAACACTGCAAACCCAAAACAGAATAATTTTTGCCCAGCTTTTGCTCTTTGCATTTATCGGGCTCTAAAATTCAGCCTTAGCTGGTTTTACTGGAAGACCAGTGGGAAAGGCAAGACAACTGAGTTTTGTAATTTAAGGAATGAGGGCGTTGTCTTCAGTGAAAGCTGCTTTTAGTGCTGAAGTTAAACAGGTGCTTAAAAACCAAGCCAAGGACAGAGAGGTTTAAACTGCTTATTTAACAACCTCTTCCACTCTTGAAAACTACACTAAACAACTCTACTTACAGTTGCTTTGCCAGCATTTTCACAAAGCTTTCCAGGTCGCTGAGTTTTTTTAGCCTAAACCTAATCTACAATTTTCATGCAGACTTCAGCACCACAAAAATAATATAAATAGTAATTTAAACAAATAGAACTTCCATTCCTTCATAAACAAAATAAACCAGATTTCCCCTAGGCTTTATGAATATTTCCTGCAAACACAGTTTTATCTGAGGGTAGAGGCAACTTAAGATGTTAGGTGACCTGCTAGCAGGAACTATCAAATCAAACTGATCAGTGAAAAGGCTGAACTTCAAACAAGTTCAACACTGCAAGTAAATACTGAGACTAGGTATACATGAGGCAGCAGAAGGCAACAGAAGGTGTACAGGGAGTCCATATTCTAAAACGCAATCTAAAACAGAGTCTAAAAGAACTCTTGTGTGAACTTACTTGTGAAAGAGGGTACTAAGCTGGAAGACCTCTGCTTGTTACTGTTGGTGAAGAGGACAAGAAGGGCATTTCTACTCTCCTGCAAAGTGCCCTGGCTCTTAGCAAACTTAACCAGGTTGTGCTCAATTCTATTGTCGAATACATGTGTTGTAGTTATCAAAAAGCCATGGTCGGAGCTGCTGTTTCCAACCCACTTGGAAACCTGGTAATGACAGGGAAATGAAATAATATTGTTTCAATATTCTTATTATGGTATTACGATTAAACAATGTTTATATTAGGAAACATGAACAAGCAACAAGCTACGAGAGCATAAGAACATATATTATGACAGAAGTGAGGTAACTGTATAGCTGAGACTCAACTGAGTTTAGTATTTAAACCAGTAATGCAACATTTAAAAATACAAAATACCATGTGCATTCCCTAAAGCTACATTTACAGGAACATAATTAATTTCTGAGAATTTACTAGTGAATAGATGAGTCTATGAATTAAAATTAACATTAAAATAAATCCTCTCTGACTTTAACTAGGAATTTATTTTTCATAGCAATCTTACTAACAGAATAATATGAACTCTTCAGACTTTCCATATCATTAAAACTCATTTGAATCTAACACACATGGCATTTGAAGAAATTAACTCACAATCAAGCATATTTACTTTATCTAGTTGTTATAATTACAGACTAACAGATAAGGCCAGGCCATTCTCAAGCAGGGCTATCATGACTTAAGATGCAACTCAACCAATCATCCAAGTATGCTGTTCAGTCTGATCATAAAGCTTAGGCAGCAAAAACCACTGTCCATGAGTACAGATTCAAGCCCATGAAACTGTATGTTTTCAACCACATTTGTTTTTTTGCTATGGAAAGGCATTCACATACTGTTATAGTTTATCTACAACACAAGTCTTTAAACTAACAAATAAAGAAGTCTACAGAGGAAGAAAAACAATCCAACCATGACAAATTCCAGAAACACGACGACGTTAAAGCACACTGCTCTGTAGTAATGCCACCAGAATAAAATGGAGAAATGGAAACCTACTCTCAGCACACAATCAGTGTCATCTCCTTTGGCAGGACTAGCATGTTTTAATCATTATGACATACTTGGCCTGATGTCCCTTCTTATTGACTACGTTTGGGTTACTCAATGCTCATCATGTCTGTGCTGCCGCAGAATATAAACACTTCTCCTTTAACTCAGGTAGCACCAGTTGTACTTTTAAGTGTAAAAAGCTTCTGCTGCTGCGGCTCTCCAGTCTAAACTGACCACAAAACCCAGCATAAGGGCAATGCCGGACTTATGAGCTGAATATCATTTTAGAATTAAAATTAAGTCAGAATTCTCTGCTTACGGTCTGTGTGACGTTGAATACTTCCCAGCCTTCTGTGTACAGGGACAATAATCTTGATGCAATGAGATGTCTTTTTTGTGGCTTACTTCCACTCTCCAAGAGCTCATACACTTCCACCTTGATGGGAGCGATACAGCAAAACAGTAAGAAATGAAACCAATTGTTCTTCCAGTAATACAAGGAGGATAAAGATTATTCACATTTCTGCCACATCAAAGCTGTAAAACTGTATTATCATTTTAAATCAGACAAAAAAGTAGGTTTTAGACAGTTTAACATAAAAACAAGTATTGCTATATGCATTTACTTCTAGATGTGTTCAGAGGCAGGATACTGGACTGTCTGATACTGTAGAAAAATATCTTGACCAACCCTTTCCTTTCTATTTTGAACATCTGATACCACGAAAGTCCTCTGTTCCTCCACATCTGTGTCTTCAGGTTTGCAAAAAGTCCCTTTTGCCAAAGAAACAAATACACCCAATGTCAGAATGCTCACCTGCCCTATTTTCCTATGAATTGCTATTATCTTTTAGAGCAGCCCAAACTGATAAATTTCGATTAGAATTTCAAAACATCTCAAACCCCCGAAAAGTATGGTATGGTTTGAGATAGGTCTGACATGGGTATTTTTAGGGAGAGCTCACTGCCACAGTGCGCAAAGTACAGTACTGCCAGAGACTGAACTTTGCGTCTTACTTCTCTGCACGCTGGGGGCAAAGAAAAACTGAAAACCGCAGACAGATAAATATAAAAAACAAGCAAGCAGGTCAATGTGGTAAATGTCTGCACTCCGCACTTTCAGCCTTATTAACAACAAAAGCACGAGTGTTTAACCGACAGGTTATTTCCCCACTTACTTTGCAGAAGTGTTTCACGTCAGACCTTCCGGACACACGCGTCCTCTTCAGCTTGAAGACCCTGAACTCGGCTTTCAGCACCTGCTCGCCCTTCTCCATCGCGCTGATGTCGAAGTAGAAGTGGTACCGGTCCTCGTGAACTGGAAAAGAGCCTCCTTTAGGGACAAGGCAGGACCCCGCAAAACAGGCCGCAGCCCCGCGTTCTCCGCCGCAGCTGCCGGGTCGGGTCCGCTCCGGCCTGGGGGTGGGGGGGCGGCGGCGCGGGAGGCGGAGGGGCCCGGTGGCCGTTCCCCCTCGGGACGCGCCGCCACCGCCGCTGCTCTGCGGCCGGGAGTGCCCCCTCGGCCCGGCCCTCGCCGCCCCCCGGCCCCGGCCCACCTCGGTCCTCGAAGCTGCGCACCACGTCGCCCTGCAGCAGCCCCGGGGCGCGGGTGATGCCGTTGGCGTCGGCCACCTTGTTGAAGAGCTCCACCATGAACTGGGGCGGCTTCTTGCGGGGCAGCACGTCGGGCGGCAGCTCCTCGATGTCGAAGACCTCCCGCAGCCGCTGCAGGGCCGCCGCCAGGACCCCGTCCCGCGGCGCGGGGGCCCGGGGCAGGCCGCTCGCCGCCGCCGGGCTCAGCAGCCAGGCCAGGCCCAGCCGCAGCCACAGCCACAGCCACGGCTGGCGGGCCGCCATGGCCGGCGGCGCCGGCTCGGGAAGGCCGCCTCGGGTGCCCGGAGCGGACGGCCGCGCCGGTGTGAGGGGGCAGCGGCTCTTCCGCGGGCCCCGGCCCGCCGAGGCTGAGGGCGGCCAGGCGAGTGCGCGGAGCTCTGGGCAGGGTGCTCGGCCCTGATGGCCGCTGCCCGCGGGGCTGGGCGGCCGCGCCTCGCCTCGCCCGGGCCATTAAGGCCCCGTTAAAGTCTCAATGGGGCATCGCCGCTCGCTCGTTAACATGAGAGGGGAAACCAAATGTCTGCAAAGGAAACCGCTCTTGTGAAAATCTTATTCTTTACGTTTACTTCTTTTAAAGAGGCTTTGATTTGAGCATTGCTGATGGCAGGTGCCGTTTCCTGTCACTGCCACTACACGTACAATTAGAACTGAGCCTGAGCCTTCCTATCTTGCCGCTTCCCGGCCCAGAGAGGTCTCCCCGCGGTGCCGGGTACCGGGCTGGGCCCGGCCGGGCTGCAGGGCCGAGCTGCCGTCGTACGAGTCTCTAACTCCGGCCCTACAGCCGCCCGGGGGGAGGCGGTGGGGACAGGGTCCGGGGCTCTGCTAGTGCGGTGCGGCAAGAGCAGCCGAACTTCGAAGTAAGGAGGGATGGGGGGAGGCAGATGCACGCTGAAAAGCCAGTTTAAGGCTTTCACTAATTTGTCTTTTTCCCCCCTTGGGTTGGTGGAGTTCCACCTCCCTCCCACCCCCCAAAAAACCCCAAACCTTAAGCATCCTGCAGACGTCCTTTTTAAGGCAGTCTGGCAGCTTAGTGATGAGCAATTATACATTCCTGATTGTTCATGCAGCTGTGCCTGTTCTGCTTGTGCCACACGGGCCCCTATTCTCTTTCCAGGCAGGAAAGCGAAGGGAGGTAGGTTAGGGGGCGGGTAGGAATGTGCTCTGGCTCCTTGGCTGACACGCTATGTTAGGCAGGAGTACTTGCACTGAGCAAGCATATGGGCCCATAAGGGAATGAAGTGGTGACAAAGAGACTCCAGCTCCACCTGCTCACAAATTAGCCATTTGAAGTAAAAAAAAGGTTTAATCTGGATTGTTCAAACAGCTCTGATAGAGGAAGCGCTGACCTTTTGCTGCTTTAAAGCTGAAGTTCCAAGTATGCTTGGCCATTTGCCTCTTCAACTTAAGGCTTTCGTGTGCTGCCACTCAGTCCAGCCTTCAGCTAGCCACATGTTGGAAAAAAATATTTGGGTAGTTATGATTACTATTTTTTCTTCACCAGGATACAAGCTTGCTGATCCAGTTTGCCACATGAGGTGCAGAGGACTGATGGAAGAAAATGAGCAGCAGTGATGGGTTGATCAGACCAGTGTAAAGAGCACTGTTGCTGCACATAAAGCTACAGCCAACTTTGATCCTCAAAACTCTCCAGTTGCCTTCTAAGGGCTGTTGGTATCTCAGCTCATGGCTAACAGCAGTGCTGGATAAAGCAATATCCATTCAACTACCTGCCTGCGAGCGTGCAAAGAGACTAGTAAGATAAAAGAAATCATCACTAGGCTGTTTTTCAGTCATCCTAAAAGCTTTGCTTCCACTCCACCACTTCTTCCAATGCTTATCCTCACAAACCCTACCCTGCCCTTGGGCTTCTTCATTTACTCCTAGTATCCTCCCTAGGCATATACCTCCATTTTTACTCTCCTGGTGCTGCTTCCAGACATTAATGTCTGGAAACACATAGCTAGGGTTCCCAAACAACCTTAACTCTGCCCTAGAGGCAAAGATTTATGAAAAAATCCTCTCTGTTTAATATAAGCTGGGACCACAAACAACGAAATGCCTCAATCATAGTAGTGCAACTGCAGAAATTCCAGTCTACAGTTAGCCAAACGTAACCCACTGAGTGCTGTGTTCTTTTATTTTCATATTTCTGATTAGGCAAACAACATAATGAAAGCCTCGCTCCCTATTCTTTCGTAAGACTGTATGACTCACCACTTATGTAAGCCTTATGCAGGAGTTGGTCATAGCTCCACTGATGATACTACAGACTGGTTTGCAATTAGTACTAGGCTTCAACCTCCCTGTTCTGTACAATAAAAATAGGTTCTCTGACATGTTGTGAGCAGTGTGGCTTTGGGAGCCCAAGAAAAGCAGATAATCTGTAGGGAACTATGATAGATAGTTAACAACTTAAAAATTTTAGGTGGATTCTCTGAAGAGTTCTGCATTGGCATTACTTTTCCTTCTCTCTCTCTCAAATGACTAGATAAACAGCTTAGAGGGTCTGAAGAACTCAAAATCATCTGACTTTCAGGTATAGCTTATGGGTGAGAATGATAGGTTTTATTATGTGGCCTGCCACATCATCTTTGATGCCATTATAATTAATATGGGACAGCAATATTGAAAAAGCATGGTTATTGCATGGTATTGTTGGTGGGCAGAGCAAAATTTACTTGGGAGCCTTCACTGTGCATTTCAGAACCTTAGCAAATTTGGACTTAAACGCAAGTCCAACCCTGCCATTCAGAAATGAAGGTCTCAGCTCAGAATATACTCTCCCTTCTCCCATTAATTTCATGTTAGCACAAACAATAAGGAACTAGTGGATAGAGCAGGCTGGAAGTCATTTCTTTCTCAACACAGCTGCCTGACATTTCTCCTTACACTTTCTGTGCAGGTTCTGTAGTTCCTATTTCAGTGACTCACAACAAATCTTCCCCCCCTGAAAGAAGAGTAGCTTTCTGCTCCCTGAACGCAGCAATGATGCACTTTAGTCTTCACTGTGGCTTTTGCAGGCAGAGAGCAAGAACACAAGGCATTTTACTCACTTCATAGCAGCTGTCTTAGACCCATTTAAAGAAAAGAGAGGTGACCCTTGTGTGAAAGATGTCAGACTTCTCTTTACTTTTAATGATAGCAGAGACACCAAAACCAGGGTCACCAAAAGTTACGAATTACTGAGGAAGTCTTACTCTTCTAAATCTCAGCTGAAGGAACAGGACTGTACCACATGAGCAATACAATGTGAAGTAGGACTGTTGACGTCACCCCAGAGCCTAGAATAGCAATCCCTTGAGGGCTGGGTAGACAGAGAGAGCCACTGAGTTAGCAAGCGTATATTCAGCATTTAGCTTGAATGTTGGAACAGGAACATTATAAATGGCCCTAAGTAGCAGAGAGTGATTTTACCATGTATCTAATATATAAATACCTCTCCCAGAGGAAATAAACTCCCAAGTGCAGACTTGCCAGCACATCCTGAATCCAAAACATGTGCCCCACTCAAGCCCTTCAAAAACTGGACTCTCAGCAATTTTTTATGATAGTTTTGTATAAACTACAGTTGCTGAATTAATGATCTAGACAATAAGATGCTATATTACCTTTGTTTTTCCAACCAGGACTTCTTTGTACTGTGCTATCATTTCCTGAAGCAGTTCCAAAGGATGTGAAAGACTTTTTGCCTTCCCTGAAAGACTGCATCCATCATGTGGGGAGACCAATGCAGAAGGCCGTATAGTACTGCATCCAAAGTCACCCAGAGGTTTATAGCAGAACAATCCAGATCTCCCTGCTCCTAAAAGACCAAACAGGTAGATTATTCCATGTTTTAAACCATCTCAGTGACTGTGCTACCTAACTTAATTCCTTAATTTTTTCCTCATGGTTTAAGTAATTTCTTGGCCCATACATTGGGAATAAGCCAAGTCTGGATAAAACTGCTATGGGGTCTCTTCACAGCTAAGCTTTTCATCGTCTTTATGTATCATTTGAGAAAGCACAGCCACCTGCAACACAAGAGACACTGGCATCGGCCTTCCTTGCTAAACCACTGAGATAGGGCTGTTCCTCAACTCCTCCTCCCTCCAGGAGAGAGAACTGCTTAAACTTTTCTTAATAGATTTGACATAGGAATCACAGCAATATGCAAAAATAATGCAAGTCTGGTATTATCCCACCAATTTTATTATTCATCTACCCAGTTCCTTATTCTAAAAATAAAATTATTTTGTGTTTGAGAAAAGTGTTACCCTTCCGAAAGAATGTTATTCAAGTTCCTGCTTTCTCTAAGACTGTTTAATCAAATTAATTGCTTAAACTACTGCTTCCTGTGACAGCTTTCCCTAAAGGATACATGCTCTAACTTTCACTCTGCTTTTTCTAGTTATGTGATGGCTGCCAAGATATCTTTGTCACCGAGAAAGTATGGTATATCATTATATGTGGTTGTTTGTTTTGTTTTTTTTTTTTTTTTTTTTTTCCCCCGATAGATTGCAATGTGTAACATTTTAAAATCTATTGGAAAATTCCTTCCCTCCCCATCAATGCTGTTATGAGGATTCCCCTCCCATTTTCACAGTTACACAGTAGTATCATTGTTTATTGAACAGATTTTGTGTATCTGCTCAGTCTTAGCAAACACAAAATATTCTCCCTCTGTTAAGAGCTTTTTCCTGAACATACTGGTGGATGGGGCATTATGGTTCCAAACAATTTATTCCAAAGTGAGTTAATTGGTAGATGAGAAAAAAAAGCCCAGATTCAATTGTAGACTAGCATCAGTATAACCAAGTGCACATCATACATAACTGGGGAATCAGGACACGAAGGTCTCTTCAGATGGCTACTAAAAATCATTGCTACCACCTATCTCCATGGTTTCTGAAAAGCACATCTCAAACTATATCTGGAGTTCAGCCAAAAATGGAGCCCAAAAGATCACTCTCTGAAAATTGGCTAAAACCTGTGCAACAGGCTATCCCTTTTCAGGAACACAACTTACCTCTAATTTACCTTTCAATTTAAAGATTATACTCACTGTTTCATGCTGAAATGTCTTTCCTTAGAGAAAGGCTAATGTTCTGTGGCTGTTTCAATCACATACACACAGCATCCCAGATAACACACTTTTTGGCTCTGATGAAGGTTAGTATTAGAAGGCTAGGTCATCGAGAAACAGCATCAGCCCATCCATGTTAGTGGAGCTGCATTTACAACAGCTGAGGAACTGGAAACTTCTTAGACCTAATGACTCAGTAGCTCAAAGAAGGAAAGTGATACAGGATTTTATGAGCAATAAAAAAAAAAAAAATCCCATCAAGTCCTTTTGAAAGTCTTGTCCCTTCTGTTGTAGCTTCTTGAAAGGCAGAGAATTGTACTACTAGAAGACAGTCAAAGTTAGCCAAGTTTGGAAATCTTAGAATCAACAGCAAAGATGACCTTGTGACTTGAGTACAACTGTCTATAGGCGACTATCATCTGAAGCCAAAACTTAGAGATAGAAAAGCCCAATTTTCTACAGCTCTGCTTGGGAAGATAACATTTATTAGCTGTAGTAGACTCAATTCTCCACATGGTGTAGCCCTTTGAGAAGAGGCTGAGTCACAACGTGAAGTTATGGATTTAAAAACACTGCTCTTCATTTTTAATCACCATTTCTATCAATCTATCCATTCAGCACCTAACTAACATTTCATTTGTGGTGGGTCATTATTGTTCAGAACAGTCAAACACCTACAATCTTTAGCAGAGTCTTTTCTCTAGGTCAAAATTTAGTTCTTATACTAGAGGTGAGCGGGTTGGCTATACAAGACTTAAGTGTTCAGCAAAAGGATGAACACAGGAGAATAAACACATGGAAGAATGTAAAAGGAGGACAGAATAGGGGAGGAGAGAGAAACAATAAATGAAGGAAGAGGGTTTTTTACCTCCCCCTTTACAAATATCGTTTGAAATCAGAAGGAACAATTATGGTAAGTTTTAACTTCTGCTGTTAAAATACCAGTGCAGCACGTTCTACCCAAACAGTGTATACAGTCCCCATAGCAGCTTACAGAACAATCCAAGTTTCTGCTATTTAGCATTCTAGATTTTTCAGCTGCATTTGTCTCTTGAGCTGTGTGGGTAGTAGGTCACATCATCTACATTGGCATAACATTTTTGGAGTACAATGGTGCTCAGCTTTTAGCATCTTTACAGGAAAGAAATTTTCAGTAATTCCTTGTGGCATACTTTTTTGTTGTTGCTGTTTTAATTTAAAGATTATACTCACTGTTTCATGCTGAAATTTCTTTCCTTAATAAGATTTAATTATTTTTTTCAACTTGATTCCTGAATTAACATCTGTATTTAGATCATTCTTTATCCCCTTTTTACTGAGGTAAGAAAACAAATTATAAAAACACAGTCATTCCATGAGTGATTTTTGGAATCATGCACAAATAAAGTAGCAATTACCAACTGTAGCATTGAATACTTGGAAACTGAGAAGGCTAAAATACAAGCTTTTAAAAATGTTACGTATCTATAAGCTATTTAATGGTAACCATGTGTGACTGTGCAATATCATTAGTCAGGAGGTGTTTCTGATTTCTTTGAGGATGTGAAAGGAATTCACTTTACACAGGTAAAGCTAAACAAACAAAAAATCAGATAATGCTTCATGGAATATAAGTAGGATTATTCTGAATTAACTCTTCTACTTTAAAATGTGTAGCAACTATATTATATTCTAGAACAACTTTTACCTATAAATCAGCCTGTAGACCTTTAATCACGTATACTTTTGAGATTAAATACTTAAAAAGTATTTTTAAGTATTTAAAAATAAATGTCACAGGGGGCCGCCCCTATAGCCCCCTCCCCTGCCACCAAAAAACTCCACCACTCAACCCAGGACATTTTTTTTTTGAGTATTATACTAATATTCAGTCTTTTAAACAAAAGCTATTACTGGGAAAAAAATCTTGTTTGTAGGATGCATAATCTGAAGTTGTACAAAAAATGGAAATATACTTAATCTCAATCATTTAGTCAGAGCCATACTATAAAGGGAAAGATGGTTCCCCCACCCCACTGTTCCCCCCCTCCTCTTTCGC